CACGGCCCCCGGCTCACTTGGGCTGCACTCAGCAGGAATGCCGCATTGTTTGTCCAGCGGCCTCCTTTGTCTCCACTCAGTGGCGGGGAGAGCAGTGTAGCATTGAACTAGGTGTTTTTCATTCCTTTGACCCCTTCACTTGCCCCACCATTTACTGCCCCCACTCCCCCTCCCCCGCGGGGGCAGTGTGGATACAATCCAAAACGATAAAGGGGATTGAAGACCTGCCTGTCTCCAAAGCCAGGCTTTCATTGCAAGGGCAGGCGCTGCTGTTGAGCAAGAAAAGGCTTTGTGAGTTCTGACCGGACAGAGCCTGGGCCGGGGAACTGTGAGGGCACAGCCCTTAGAAGGCACAGCTGTAGAGGAGAGAAGAACACAGGCCAGCGACGATAGAGGAGTAGCTTCCCGCCTCTGAAAAAGGAATGAAGGTCTGAAGAGCCGCAGGGGGGTTATTTAGAAGGGAAAAGCTGGACCCCAAAGTCAAAAGGCTGCTGAGTCTGAGAGGGGCTGGACCTCCCCTGGCCCTGCCCCCATCTGGGGTCTAAATAGGACATGGGTTTGGCCAGTGGCAGACAAGGGACCCAGCTGCCCAGGGTCTGCCAGGAAGATTCTAGGCAAGTCTTCACAGGAGCTCCGTGTTCCTCAGGTGTCCCCACGGCCAACCAGCAGAGGGGAGGTCCAGGCAGGTGGGCCTGAGGGCAGCCTCAGAGCATGAGAGAGACTGGGCAGGGGCCTAGGCCCCTCCCCACGGGTGCCACGCAGATCTGAGGTCTGGGCACGGAGAAGAATGACCCAGGCGGGAGGACCTGGAGACCAGAACCACAGAGGGGCCTCGCGGTGGAGGCCAGCGCCAGACACCGGTGAGCCGACCAGGGGCAGGCTAGCGACACTCTCAGAAACTCGGAACCTGGGGTCAGAGTGGCTGATGGGTGGGGTCAGGGAGGATTGTGAATTTGAACCCTGACCCCAAAGAGGATAAGTTTTAACCAGAAGTGACTGAGTTGCCTTGAAGCGGCAAGATCAAGAGTTTTCTGCAACTAGCTGAGAGGGCATGCGTTTGGTTGAGGGCGGTTACGGGGAAATGAAGTTACATTCTGCACACCTGGGCTGTGACTGTCGGTTAAAACCTGCCAGAGATGCTAGTATTCCTCATGCCAGTGGGAAGGTCCATGCAGCTGCAGGGGCCAACAGCAAAGCCGAGTCCTACGGGGCCCAGCCAGAGGGGCCAGGATGTGTGCTCTTATTGTTCGTTTTAAATCAATACTACGATGCTAAATACTGTTGGGAGGAAACTGGGCAGGGGGGACGGTGGTGCTGTGAACCCCAGTTTGAGAAAACCTGGCCATTGCCCACCTCTCCAGCCCCATCCCTCCTCACTCCCCCCCAGCCCTTGGGTTCCCTTTGAGTCCTTCCCATGTGCCATGCTCCCTCCTACCTCAAGGCTCTGAATACCTGTCCCCTCGGCCTCGAATGGGCTTTCTAGCTTCAAATGTGTTTACATTTTACTTCCCCAAAGGACGCTTGCCTGAGATCCAAGGCAAAGTGGGCTCCTCAAGTTACACTCTCATGGTGGCACTGTGGGTTTTCTTCACAACACCCCCGCCCCCCCATGTCCAGCTAGTGCCCGGCCAACAGGGGGCGCCCAGTCAATGCTGAATGGACGAATGGACGAAGGGAACTGTGTCCTGCAGCTCAGATGTCATGAGAAATGACTGAGGTTCTGGTTTCAAGTCCTGCCACATTTTAACTCTGTGAACTGAGCGATGACACTGACTTCTCAGCCTCACCTGCCTCCTCTGTACAAAGGGCGCTCCGCACACTGGCACCGACCCAGCAAACTGCCCCCCCCCCCCCCCGCACTTTCTGTGCCCTCCCACAGGTGCTTTCCGCGGGGGCCCAAGGCTTCTGGAGGGGACACCCGGGGAGACTCACACACAAAGCGTACAAGGGGCTGGCGGGTCGTCTGACGCACAGTGAGCCACAAATGCACGTCACACACGTCATTAAAACCATTCCAGCAGTCACATTTTAAGAAGTAAAAAGAAACTGATAAAATTAAAAATATATTTTACTTAATTCAATATATCCAAAATATTCACTTTCCAACATGGAATCAATATGAGAATGAAAGCATTCTTTACATCCCATCGTTGTAGTACGTCTCTGAAATTCACTGTGAATTTTACACGTCCTGCGCGTCCTACTTTGGCCAAGCCACTTTTCAATTACTAGTCACCATGGCTGGGGGCTACCTGGGCCTCACAGATAGAGCTGTGGTCATAATCGGGGTCGAGCATTTGCCAAGAATTCATTCATCGGGGCTGTGCTCTTCCATCAAGAGGCATACACTGTGTGCTTTTCTCTCTTTTTGTGACACGAGCAGCCACGGATGATCATTGTCCCAGAGGCATGAATTCATAGCAGGTGCCAGGTGGTGACAGTCTCACTCTACTAGCCCTTCCAAATCTTTTCACTTGGAATATTTCTGTAAGAGAAACTTCCCCTCATCAACCGACAGGTTAACTAGTGTGTGCAATGCGTGCAGGGAAGGTAAGTCAACATTTGATCCTTCCCTTTACCACAGCTCTCGGGGTTATAGCTGACGGGGACATGCGCCGTGCTTGCTGCAGGGAGCCAGGGGGGGAGGTGACTCCAATCCAGGTGGCAACCCCAGCCATGGTGAACCCCCGGGCAGCCAGCCAATCCTCTCCCCTAAACCTGAGGAATTTCCTTCAAAAGGCCTGAGAAGCCCTAGCCGCCCCAGTGGTACCCCGAGTGCTTCACAACAAGTAGTGAGAAGGAGGCTCTGCCCCTGTCCTGCCAGGCTCTGGGCACCACGGCAACCTGAGACAGGTTTTGCGGAAGGAACACAATGAACCCCTGGAGCAGGAGGAGTCTCTGTCCCGGCCTCAGGAAAAACCTCAGCCCCGGCTGAGGAGGAGGGCACAGGCCCAGAGAGGTCAAGCGCCTTGCCCGGGTCACACAGCCAGTGACCCCGCCTGGCTGTCTTCAGGCTGAGGGCCCAGACTGCTTCCTTCCTGCCTGCTCGGAGGTGCTTCTCAGAGTCAGGTGAGTCCTTATCTCTGTCCACTCCCACTCTCCATTCCTTCCAGATGTGCTGCTGTGATCTAGCGGGGGCGGTGAGAAGCCCCTGTGTACAAAACCAGAGGGATCCGAGCCTGTGCTCGCCCCTTGGCGTTCTGGGCCGGGGGCCTGGCTGGCTGCAGCGATTGCACACCGGCTGCATTTTTCTCATTTTTCTCTCCATGCACGGCTGCTCTTTTTCTGGATTGCTGACACTGCCAGTCTCTACAAAGTGTGGAATTATTTTATAGACATGTATTTTTTATTCATTTAAAATCCACAAGGCTGAGCTGTCTACCTACAAAACTGTAATTAGATGCGCTAAGAGAAAAAGGAAAAAAATAAAAAGGGCTTCTATCTACTTGAAGTGAAATTAAGAGCTCTGGGCACCAATTCAGCAATCAGCGAGGCGGCCGGAAGCTGTGAGAGAATATTTCTGGATGAGGTGGGCCTAAATCAGTCCATCTGCCAGGTGTTAAGAAAGATGAAAATTAAGCTTATGAGGCCTCTGGGCTGTGTCTCAACGCTGTGTCCATGCCACCCACCCCAACACCTGAAACACTTGACATTTGCTTAGAGCTTAGTTTCTCAAAAGTTCAGTCCTGGCACACCCTCAATGTGCACAGAATGAGAAATCGTCCCACCACAGCCTGAGACACCCGATGCAAGAAATCCCTGTTGAATGACTGGCTCCTCCCCATGTGCACGGCGCCTCACAAAGATTAAGCGCTTTCTTAAACATGTTTATCTCTTTCACACTGTCCACCCTGGGAGTGCGTGCATGGTATTATCCCCACGTCACAGATTCGGAGACTGAGTGGCTTCGCCCAAGCGTTGGAACAGGTAATGGTGGTAACAAGTCTCAGGGACCCTGTCACTACGCAGTGGCCTCCACAGGACAAAAGGGAACCGACAAGGAGGGTGCAGGCCCCATACAAGCAGAACGGCAAGGGCAGGATTCTCTCTGAGCTCCTACAGATTGGACAGTGGGGGTCCTTAAAAGTACAATGACTTGACCTGTCAGAGCTTCACTGTGGCTGAATCGGGGGTTCAGAATGACGCGTCTCAAGAGTGGATGCTGGCCGAGCTCTTCGTACCGCACAGTAAACCTCGTTTGCTATTCAGTCTTTACCCTGAAACGTGAGGGCCACATGGATGCACCTTTTTCAGACACAGATTTTTTTTTTTTCTAAACAAAAGGGAAAGATGAAAGAGACTCAAGCAAGTCTCACTACAGTCTAGCCTCAGCGTGGCTGCCAGTCATAATTCAGATCTAAGCAGGTTACTCTTCTGCCCTCAAGCCTGGGAGGGCCACCTGAGTTGCCCACTGAATGCATTCAAATCTCTTGACTTGGCACCTAAGTCCTTCCCATGGGCCTGCAATTCAACTTCTCCTCTCACCCTTCTTCACATCTGCTCAGACCCCAAGCACAGCAAACTTCTTGCTGCTCTGCAAACACACAAGACCCCGCCTTGCCTCTGGGCCTTTGCCACACGGTTCCCTCCATCTGTGATGTGAAATCTTACATATCTTTCCATCTGCATTACCCTCCTGGAACCTTTCCTGATCCCTGCGTCAGAGTGGCTTTCTCTGCACCCTACAGGATGGCCGCACATCCCTCAGCATATAATTAATCACACTGAATTATAATTGTTAATAGAACTACCTCCCCCTTCCACTGGAGAATGTGGCAGAGGTCAAGGCTTATTAATCTTTGTATTAACCTTGTTTAGCCAGAGAGAGAAAGAGGAGAGAGAGAGAGAGCGAGAGCTAGTTAGTTTAATAAATGTGGAATGGCTGGCTGAGTGAGAACAAGGTCTTCATACTTAACTCAGCTTCAATATGAAATTCAAAACAATGAAGAAAACATGACTCAAACATAGCAGGGAAATAACATACACTTTTACTCTCAAAATAAATACTAATCAATTTTATTTTATAAATACAGATGCTGAGTTTTCTTCCAATTACCAACAGATCAGTTTCACATGCCATTTATTATTGGTGGTGGCTTAAAAAATTATTTAAATAACCGGCTAGGTCAGGATAAATGGGCACCATTAGAACTGCTAAAAAAATATAGCTGGATACAATCTTCCAAAACTAATATTCTGAGGGGGGGAAAAATCTCTGGAATTTCTAAAGTGGGTAAGAGGAAGTGGAGAGAGAAAACACAATCAAATATCCATTTGATAACATTTGCTGGCTGTTAAAAGTGTCTCAGTTACATGAAAGCTGTAAGGGCTCTTAGTCGTGCAGAACTGGATAGTGGTGAGCTTCCACTTCAACGTCTATCCATCCTTGAAGCAAACTTGATGTTTTAGTGATTTACAAGACTAGAAAGATGAGTAGATGATAACTCATCCCATCCTTTGGCTATGGCCACTTTAGTGGCAAAACAAATTATGCAGCATTGGAAGACGTTGAACAGTTATTTCTGGAGACATGGAATTCTGCAGGTTCTACCCAGGTCATGGCAGAAACTGCAGACATCAAAAATATTCAAATGAAAACACAAAATGCAAACTAAACAAACCCAAACCTAGGTGGTGTTTTCAGGCATAACATCATTGGACCCTGTGGATCAAGCAAATGTATAGGTAACTACTGATCGGCTCTGAGCAATCTAATCACACTCATGGCACTGTTGGGGGGTGAAACGTGTGAACCCAGGAATCAGGTGGTCACAAACGACAGTCGGGTGGATGGAGCCCCAGAGCTCCATCTGGCCGCGTGGAACCCGAGATGACACCGGGACAGGGGCTCTGAGTGGGGCCCTCTGTGTGGTGCTGCCAGGAGCCAGGCTGCAGGGCCTGCAGTGGACACACCTTGTCTCTGAGTTTGGCATAGTTTAAAGTCCACTCCCATATCTTGGAAAATCACAATCACATGTGATTCACTCACACAGTCCATTGTTGAATTCTCACACAGTCCTTCAAAACCTATTTTTTGGGGGGGGGTATTGTTACTTCATTGGAGGACCCCACAGACCAGTCTGACGAATATCTACACTGTGTCTATCTCTACCCTCTTTGATTCTAAAACGAATGACAGTACAGTGCAAAGAAGCTGGGCCTCTACAGATGGCTTCTACTCCAGCTTTGGAATAGCCTACCTTTTTATGTGGAATTCATACGGACTTCTTGAGATCGAGTAAAAGCTTTTAATTGCTTGCGAGCTGGGTCTGTCTGTCATGCCATGATTCTGTGAGTTCCCTTTACATGGAAAACAACAACATGAGCTATTCCATTTCAAATGTGGCTATAAATTAAAATCGAGCCCAGGAATGCTTGGAAAAAATATGAAAATGATTATGAAATCTATGAGTTAAGATGTTATGTAGGACAAACGCAGCTACTAGAGAGTACACCAGTGAAGGTGTTTGTGTTGCTATAACAACAGGTAAATTCAAATGAAGTCAACACATTAGCTTAGATGCAGCCCTAGTTTTGTTCGGGCTGGTCCTATCTCGACGAAATACACGGAGATGTAGTTTCAAGAGGAATTCGAAGCTGGAAAAAAAAATCAGGTCGAGTGAAGTACACTCAATTTTTATTCTTCTATACAATACATGGATACACGGATAAATTTTCCTTAAAGAACTTGCAACCCTGAGGTGATGTCCTTGGGTAAATAAAATGTAAAGCAATAGCAAACGAAATTTGAGCTCCAGGAATGACAGCTGGACTTCAAAAACATAATTTAATATTTATGCAATTGCACACATATCAATAGTATTCTATGCCTCATCTAGTATTAGTCCAACAACCTCAACTGCCTTGCATTTTGCACATTGGATGGCCTGACTCTCTACATATACTTCATCACATACAATGTCTTCCAACTGAAATGTAATAAATTAATATGGGCTGTACACAAGTGGATTTTGTCTGGTGAGTGCACTGCCAGGAAGCGGCCTAGTTTTGATTGCAGCATCTGCCCACATAAACACTCTGGCCCTCAAAGAGGATTGGATGCCATTTGATTATACAACCTTGGGGTCCTCAAGGGTCCCTGGGATCCACCGAATTTGAGGGCTACCTCAAAGCCATGGCTGATCAGAGGAGGTGGAAGGTCAGAGCTATTGTATTAAAGAACCCGTGAATCTGATGTCCTTTTTTCAGAGTGCACAATGCATCCACTGTGAAATGGGGCAACAGTGGAGTCTCTCGGTTGCCTGTGAGGCATGGGGGCAAGGGGAGGGGCATATGCGCCTGGGTCTAAGGAGACTATTGTGCTTCTTATTCATCAGCCTAATGAATGGCCAAAGATCCTTCAGTAAATGGTAGAAATCTTTTTCTAAATATTCAATTTTTCCCAAAGTTTTATAAACTGGTGAGGGCAAATGCTTGAGAAACTAAAGGTGAGTTCATTATATATTCTTTATATATATTATCATCTTCCCTCTGGGGATAACATAGAAGAGCAAATAAAAAAGCAGACGAATACCTATAAGGTGACTCAAGCTAGAGAGTGACTTTTGCCTTCAAACAACGGTCAGGCCTGTAAAGCCCATCTTGCAAGCAAAATCTAACTTCGTCTGGCCCACTGATACACAATGATCCTGAGTCCCTCCTCCATTCACAAAGTCTATTTTCCCGAGGAATATCCTCCATTAATATTTATTTTGTGTCATAATTATTACAAAGGGTAACCAGTGCAGCTTTATCCTTATTTTAGGCAGTAGCCCTGTCCTGGACCTACTGTCTGTCTGCTCGCTTCACTTATCAGAGCTCCTGCGTGGCCGGCGGAAGCTGGATACGTTTTCGTTCAGTGCATAGATCCTTCGGGAGAACTCTTCAAATTCTCCCAGAACTTGTTCGTCACACTCCACTGCCACAGCACTGTCCACCGGGATGCAGTTAAATGCTTCTAGCTGGTCACTGGAGGTGAAACCTGTGGCTTCCATCCCAATGATCTCTTCCGCTTGCTCCACGGCACAGCAGAGCTCAGCTTCTGAGCCGGGGTGGAACTCACCCGGGAGCTGGGCGCTGGCGGCGCCAGCCTGCTCGCTGGGTAGGAGAGCGCCATTCACCGTGGCTGGATGCCCAGGGAGGGCTTCTCCTTGTTCTTGGCCAGTGTTTACACTCACGGGGCCCACGTTTAAGCTGTTGCCCAAATCGACTCCCTTTTTCTGGTTTTCTTTGGAGAAGTCCAAGGAGGTATCCAAGGAGGAGGACAGAGTTGTTGTCTTTCTCTCAGACTCTCCCAGGGAGGGGGTGGTGGGCCCAGGCTGGGCTACTGCTGAGTTGTAGCTGGGAGGAGGGGTCCTGTAGTGGAGTCTCTCGTTCTCTGAGCTGGCCCGTTTTCGGTGTCCTTTGTCTGGCGAAGGAATGCCCCCAGAGAAGCCTCCATCTGCACCCCCAAATATGGAGCTTTGTCTCTTTGGAACAGGGATTGCACTGGAGGTGTGATGTCTGTCGCTAGAAGATAAACAAAAAGGAGAAGTTAACTTCCAACTTCAGAACTAAGTTTAAGCCTTTTGGATCCAGAGACAGGAAATAGCATGCTTAGGTTTGAGTTAATAAAAATTGATAATTATTCTTAGTACAAACTGTAGTGCCCGAAGGGAAGAAACAACCCAAAGCATTCTGAGTTCAACTTTGGGAGCTTCCTTCAAGAAGGATCAAGACATAATGAAACATATCCAGAGGAGAACACCAGGGTAGGATGGGGGATAGAAACCAGGTCATATGGGGAAGAGTTTCAGTCACTGGAGGGATTGGATCTAGAAAGAACAATATATAAAGGATGCAACCAACTTTACACATCTGAAGGGCTATCCATATTCTTGTTCTTTCTTTTTAAAAACATATTTTTATTGCTTTCAGAGAGTAAAGGGGCAGGAGGGTAGGAGGGTAGGAGGGAAGGAAGGAGGGAGGGAGGGAGTCGGGGGGGGAGAGAGGGGGAGAGAGAGAGAGAGAGAGAGAGAGAGAGAGAGAGAGAGAGAGAGAGAAACATCAGTGGTGAGAGAGAATCATTGATTGGCTGCCTCCTGCATGCCCCACACTGAGCCAGCAACCTGGGCATGTGCCCTGACTGGGAATTGAACCCTGACCTCCTGGTTCATATTCTTATTCTTGTTTTTCATATTCAACTTATTTTATCTTTTTTTTATATATATTTTATTGATTTTTTACAGAGAAGAAGGGAGAGGGATAGAGAGTTAGAAACATCGATGAGAGAGATCGATCAGCTGCCTCCTGCACGCCCCCCAGTGGGGATGTGCCCGTAACCAAGGTACATGCCCTTGACCGGAATCGAACCTGGGACTCTTCAGTCCGCAGGCCGACGCTCTATCCACTGAGCCAAACCGGTTCGGCAACTTATTTTATCTTCATAAAGCAGGTATCCTTATTTGTCAGAGAAGTTTAGTGACTTGCTCATGGTACCGCAGTGAAGCCATGGCAAGGCTAGACCAGAACTCATGACTCTTGACGTGATGATCAATAGCTTTTCCAATACCCAATGCTAATCACCTTGGATTAGAGAACTGACAGAGAGAGGGTCAAGGATATACATATATTTTAATGAAAATTTAATCTGGGAAACGACTTCTCCTTTACAAGCTGGTCACACACGTTTTATAAGTTTGGCCTTAAGTGCCTTCTTTCAGACTTGAGTTACTTCTCAGGAAGATACTTCCGGGCCAGCAATAATAATCATTCTTAAGCGATACAAGTTTTAGTTTCTAAAGTAATTTCATACACATCATTTCATTTGGTCCTCACAAAAACCCTGTCAGGAAAGCAGAGTATACATTACTGCTCTTAAGTCCGAAATAATAAATAACAATTAGTTAATGGAAAGAGAGTACTCAGACCCTGGAAATAATGGTCATGTTATACACTGTGCTAGTAAAACCACCCTAGAGGACTGATCACAATTCTTGATATTATACTTGGATGAAGCTAGTCAGCTCCAATATAACTATAGGAACAGACTGGGTCCAGAGACAGAGGGAGGCAGAAACACAAGACCCATTAGACTCGTGTGTTCTGCAGGTGAGGAAACACACACACCGAGGCTGTTTGCACAAGGGCAACTACCAGGCATGAGCAGAGGCTAGACTTGAGACTATACCCGCCTAACAAACAGCTACTCCATGTGCCCGGCCTGGGGGACGGGAAACAAATGCAAGACGGAGCAGGCCCTGCCTCTGAGGAGCTTCCGAGCTTGTAGGAGAGCCATCCACAGTCACTGAAACAAAACACTTCCAGCTCACAATAGTGATGTGTCTTGAAAAAGAAGAAAGGAGCGAGGGTTCCTTCTACCTGTGTCCACAGCCACAAGCCCTTGAACCAGCTCCCTGCTCCTTCTCTGTTTTTTGTTTTTTTCCCTGATGCTGGATTATCCCTGTGATCTCAGACACCTAAGCAAGGCTTATTCTTCTTGAGAAAAGGCAACCACAAGGCTGCTAATCCCCAGGCCCGTCAAACAACCTTGCTTGGCTCTAAGTGTTGGTGCCAGGAGAGATTTCATAATTAGGGGTGGCCTGTGGGGTGCATAGACCCGGGCAAGCACACCGGTAAATTACTGTTTTTAGTTCTCAAGAAAAACAGAGCAAAACCTGCTGGCCTTAATCTAGGTTTTCAGTTAATATGTTGTCAAAACTCCCAGGAACTGGGCAAGCCACACATTTTTGCGAACCTTGTAGTTTTCACTCTCCCACTTGTCGACTGTCCCTCTCCAAGTGATTCTGCAGGAAGCCGAGGCAATCAAACCAAAACAGAGCATCAGCACTACCCACCGTCTATTCCCACCCCGGCCGAGGAGGCGTGGGAAGCACCAGGTGAACCAGCCTGGGACAGGGAGGTGACAGTGTGGCATGGAACTAGACGCCTGGTGCTCACCACTCTCGGTTATGAAGGGTGAATGCCATGACACCTCCCCTGCCGCCAACGCCTCCCCTCTCCCCACCCCAGCCTGCTCTGCTTCCCTCCTAGGCTGATGAAAGGCAGAGCATGAGAAATGGACCAGGGTGCAGCAGCAGTGCTTATGGCACAGAGGACAGGGGTTCTGTAGTCCTCTAGGGCAGCGGTCGCCAACCGGTGGTCCGTGAGGTCCGAAAGGTTGGCGACCGCTGCTTTAGGGTTCTGCGACTCCCTGGAGGCTCTCCTCAATGTTGCACAACAGAAAAGTAATAAAGTGTGACGTCCCTCCTGGCAACTACAATGGGAAGGGAACTCCCATTTTCCTGAGCATCCACAATGTTGAACCCTCACATCTACCCTGTGAAAAAGGCAGGCGGGTGAGCGGGTTCTGTGGTTTAAGGTGCAGAACTAGATTCAGTCTGACTCTAGAACCCACACAGTCTGTCTCATCCCCCAATTGGAATCATATTCAAATTCAACTAACATTTGCTAAAAGCCAGTGATACGCCAGACTTCAAGCTACCAGTACATGCCATTCTACAGGCCTTTTCATTGAATTCGTCCAGCCTACTAGTATATCTAAGTTCTGGGGTGTTACTCCCATTTTAAAGGGTGTATTCTTAGGCTTTTGAGAGGTAGAGACTGATATTTTCTGACATCCCGATTTTATGATATTCTTCTCCTGTTTCCTTGGATTTTTATGAGAATCCAGGTAATGATAGCTTGAGATACAATTTGGAAAACTCTAGTAACAGTAAAATGTTCCCTCTTAATAAGGGCAAGGAAATGCATTATTATGGACAGGCAATAAAGAAGTCTACGTATCTAAAGTTTACCCTTTAATGGTCACGTTTGTCTTTCTTATCATTTTTAGCCATGTGCAATAAAACCTTTCCAAATTTTTATTAAAGTATTTCTTATAATCTTAAAAAGAGTAAGCTGGACAAAAAGGGTGTCTTCTTTGTTTAATTGATTTTTAGAGAGAGGGGGAGGAGGAGGGAGAGGGGTAGGGGGAGGGAGAGAGGGAGAAGCATCGATGTGAGAGAAACATTGATCGCCTGTCTCCTGCACGCCCCCTATGGGGGATCAAGCCCACAACTCGACATGTGCTCTGACCAGAAACTGAATAGGCAACCTTTCAGTGTATGGGACGATGCCCAACCAACTGAGCCACACCGGCCAGGGGCAATAAAGGTATCTTCAAAACTTTGGGTCACCACTATGAACATGTATTACTAAACTACGACATAGTAAAGAGACTATAGGATCTTCAGTGGCCTGTTTCCTAGGATCTGAGTCTGAGAGTTCTTACACTGCACTTGAGCTTCCCCATGTCCTCTCTCACTGTCATGGCAGTGTGGCTGCATCCACCTCTCCCTACAGGGGCTTCTCTTTTTCTAATGTTTGCTTCTGATTCGCTGTGTTCTTGTAAAGTAGATGCCCTAAGAATTGTGTGCAAAGTAAGAGTAAACAGGATTAAAGTGATGGGCCAGCAGATGTCCTGGGCATAGTATGCTTTATTATGAGTTTTGTAACATTAGTTTTGGCTGCTCAGAATTAATTTTTTTTATTACTTCCAGGATCTTAGCAATGTTCCAGATTTTTAAGATAGCTGAGTTCCAAACAGCTGAAGTGTTGAATGATTACATTAAAATATATACAAACACACATGCATTTTTAATTATTGTAATAATTTTCCAGGGAAAATTAAAAAAATATAAACCATATGAAAAATAAAAATCTCTCACAAGGCTATTACCCATCAAATAACCACTGTTAATTTTGAATATTTTCCTTCCAGACTTTGATTTTATGTGTGTGTTTAATTTTAAAAGACCAAACAAACCTAAAGTTGTGTTTGTGGTAGATATATACAATTCTGTAGTCTGCTGTTGGATGTTATTAAAATCTCTTGGTAAACAATTCTAAATGGTTGTTCCATTGACTAGAATATTATAATTTGCTTAATCATTCCCTTAGTTTTATAGATTAAGGGTATTTCTAAAATCTTACTCTTAAGAAATTGCTGTGAGCCTAGGGCAGGGTGGGGGCGGGCTAGAAGGGGTCAATGGGGGGAATAAGGGGACACATGTAACACTTTCAACAATGAAGATCTAAAATGTTAACCAAAATAAATTTAAAAAAGAAACTGCCGTGAGCATCTCTGTATAAAAACACAAAGCATACATTTTTAATAAAATTTGATTTTCATATTTAATAGGTGTCCAGAAGAAACCTTCACTTCACATTTCAGTGGAAGCTAAATTTGTACGAGAAAGAAAAGGAGTATTTTATCTCTAGTATTGCCTAAAAAGGTAAAAGGTGGCAATTAAAAAAGGCAAATAATAGATCAAAAAAGAAGGCCCAGAAGGTTTCAAAATTCCTTTTGTCTGATTACAGTCTGGCTTTGTGATTATTTCATCTAGATGGAAGAAGAGGTCGAAACGCATAGATTTCCTAATTACATGACCAATTTTTAAAGACTGCTGACAATTTATTTATCAAATGAAATTGGTATGCAATTTAAGCTGTGATGAGTAACTCAGAGG